TAACACATACCTGAATGCCAATATGATTGACTATACATGCGAGGATAGAGTTAACTTGGTTCCTTCAAGAGAAGGTATATATTCTTATGTAAATTTTCTTAGGATCAAGGGGTCCTGGTTTTGCAAGGGTTCAATCTTGTCATTTGTCAAATATCTACAACCTCAATTATTACAAAGCTTTTAATTAAGACAATATTCAAAGAATTCAAGATTAAAACTTGCTCATTGTTCATTTCCTAAGAAGAAAGCATTTTATTGGAAATGTTCGAACGTCAAGTGACTTACAAAATTCACACATAGATAGAAAAACAAGTTCAAACAAGATGACATGCATGAGAACGCAACAAAACTTCTTATGGATGCCCCAGCCTACTCCTAATGGATGCCCCATTACACATTGAACGTCAATGCCCCAGAATAGATCAAATCTTGGACCTTGCGCTTCAATGCCTTACAGTTTTCAACGGAAAGTCTGGAGATTCCTATGTGATATCAACATCATGAACCTCATGATATGGGGACTCATTTCTCAGATCGTCCTGGCAGGCTCAGTCCTACAACCAGCTGAACAAGCTCCCACCATACTGATTTCAACATCTTCTTTTAATTGTTTGAATCTTGCTTCTATTCTCAAAGTGATTAGGACCATTTCATCGAATCCTCCATATATTAATATCATGTTTTCATGAATGATGCATGTGAAAATGCTTAAATGAATGCCATGCAGAACGCAAATGCAAAATGCATCGATTTCCAAAAGTAACCATTATTAGAAAGAGTTTCATTTGTTCATAAGAGCTTTCATCTTTACAAGAGAGATCAATCTATGAATGTGGTTTAACCCTTTTATTTAGCTCCATGATCTTAGTTATGACTCCAACAGTTTGCTCTTCATTCCAGAAATGACTTCGAATCCAACGATGAGTAGTTGAGTGCAGCCTCTGAATCGCTTCTCAAAGTTGAATAGAGGTTTATACTCCTCTATTGTTGGTGTCCAATCTTGTCTGTTGAAAGTGAAGCAGATGTATGCAGAATTCTGGCATTGGACCAAAGCTTTAAGCAACGACTCATTTATCTTTACGCAGAGGAGATAGGCCATGTCACCATATTTCATGTGAAATTTCTCCTTGGTAACTACTCTCCAAATCTCCCAAATCTCTATCAGCTCTTGTAGATCAATCTACTTGAAACTAATGTTAGCATCTGTAGACATCTATGATACACAATCTCCACCAAACTATCTCTTTTTACCCTTCATTTCTTCAGATCAAGCTCGAACCACCGGATCAAATTCTTTCTTGTTATGAAAACTCTTTTCCATCTCAATGATTGCTCTTCTAATCTATTGATTACTTGGTTAATCAACACCTTTCTTTTATTTATAATGGTCATGCAGAATGTGAAGATGCAAATGCATATGTAAAAGTGAAAATCCTCTAAAATACAATGCCAAGAAAGATGAAAAATGACACAAACAAAAGAAAAGAAATAAGTTAGTAACACAAACAAAAGAGAAAAACGAATTAGTACCAGCAAGTTAATCAATAGAGTTAAAAGATTATATCTACAGATGAATATTATACCTACCCAATCATGATATCTACCCGAACATGCTTTTAATAAATAGCAATCCTACCCGAACATGCTTTTAATAAATAGCAATCCTACCCGGACATGCTTTCTACCCACAATGATTTTATTTTCAAGAGAATAATCATAACCACATAGTATTTAATTCACATGCTTTTATTTAAAAAAAATTAAAGCAAAAGGCAAAGGTTCATAAACGTTTTTCCTTTGTGTACACTTATTTTGGGTACCTACTAACAGACAGAGGTTCGGTATGACTATACCTAAGGTGACCGTTCTATGGTTCACTATATGCATGGTTTCAATTCTAAGAGAAAAATGGTACCGAATTATCCTTGTTGGTGCCTCCTTAGGCTGCCAAACCCTAAATCCTGGCCCATTATAGGCTCGTACGGATCGAGTTTAATTCGAGAGGATACATTCCCTTATGTCCATGCGGAGACACAGTTTATCTCACGTAGACATAAGGTATATGAACCCCAAAGGTTACTAGCTAAAACCCATACGGAGAAATAAATTATCTCATGTAGGCTAAGCTTTCACCTCAACTTAAAAAGGGACAAAGCTCGTAAGTGAGCTTATGATATACGAATTACGTGTTGTGTGTGAGGAGAAACTCACAAACCTTTAAAACACGAAGACAAAAAACCAATACTCTCACAATTTCCAAAAATCTGATCGAATCTGAAAATCACTAAAATAAAAAATCAATTAGTTTAAAAATAATATGTTGAAACTCAAAATAAATAAAAAGATCGTAAATTAAATACAATTTAAATTTATAACTCCCAAAAATAAAAACAATGTATAATCGTTTATGGCTAGACTCTCAAAGTCCCTAGTGGAGTCGCCAAGCTGTCATAGCGTTTCCCCGGGAGGACCCGTTAGACTAAAAAAATTTAATTCGGGGTAAGGTGATGAAATATGATTTTGAAAATAGTTTAATTTTGGAGTCGCCACCAACCTTTAAGTTAGGTAGGTTGGAAACCTTAAACGACAAAAAACGGTTACGTTTTACCAAAGATTCATTTTTAAAGGTTCGGGAGTCGATTATGTGCGGGGAAGGGTAAACACCCCCACAACGCCCAAATTTTGGTACCTAAACGATTATATGTTTTTAAATATTGAGAATTACAAACTCGAAAATATATTTAATTTACGATCCTGTTATTCATTCGAATATATTCAAAAAGCGTTAATTTTTCGGATTACGAATGCCTTTTTGTGTGAACAATCTTCGGGAAAAACACTTCCTTTGTAGTTAAGAGTCTTTCCCATAAATTCCCCTCAAAAAAATGTTATTTCACAATTTTCGCAAAGATAAAATAAAATAAAAACAAAATGAAAATGAAAAGCAATGAAAAAAACTCGAAATAAATAATCATGGAACAAAGAGAAAATTATCGAATACAACACAAACATTTATATGAAAAATCCTCGTAAAGACACCTTCCATTGTAGTTGGGAGATGTATTCGTAGATTGCTCGCATAATGAAATTTTCCATTTTTTATACATACAAACATGAAATTATAACGATCGATAAAATAAAGTTGACCAAAACACATGTACAAACATGATAAATTAAAATACAAGAAAAATAGACATGCTTAGTAAAATAAAGGATTAAATAGAAAAAACGGAAATTTATAAGAATAAAACAACAAAAACAAAAACTTAAAGGATTAAAATAATAAAAATAGAAAGTTAAATGACTAAAATAGCAAAATCATATAGTTTAAGGACTAAAATTGTAAAAATAGTAAGTTAAAGGACCAAAATAGTTAAAACAAAAAGTTAAAGGGCTGAACAATATTACAAATAAACCAGATCCCAAATCACAAATGTTAAATAGTACAGGTACTGAAAATGTAAATAACCCATAAATAATATACATGACTAAAATAATATAAACTAGAAATCTGGAGGACCAAACAACCATTAAACCCCAAGTCAAGTAGTGACTAAAATGAAATATTTACAAATGTCAGGACAAGAGTCAAATATAAAAGAAAATAATATAACATATAAAAGAGTGACATAAATGTAAAACATGAAAGATACGAGCTCAAAATAAAATATCATAAAAGTTTCATTAATGGTTAAAACAGAGTTACAAACCAAGAGGGACCTAAAATGTAATTATCCTAGAAGTATGAGAAACACGGGTGTGAGAACACAAAGAAACAAGGACTCAAGTTGACATTAACCCAAACGAAATAAAAGGACACAGTTGATATTACAAAAGGCAAAGGACCTACACTGCTATTAACCCAAAATACGAAAACACGCAGACCCCCAGTCCCTTAAACGGCGTTATTTCATTCGATGGTTATAAACATTCCCCAATTCTCTTCCACCTCTCCCTCTATCTTCCCCCTCTTCGTTTTCTCTATTTGCTTCCTCGCCGAGGACATAAACACAGCTTTCTGGTCACCATTGATAGGTGGCCACGGGGAGCAAAACAACCCTATACCCCTATTTTTCCTCTCATAAACCCTATAAACTAAACCACTTTAAACCCTCAAAGCCCCCAAAACATTCCCACCCAAAAGAAACCGAAAGCTTTCCTTCGGTACAACTTACCCTTTTGACTCCGATGGTGGCAACGGTCACAGCTGACCAGATCTCGACGAAAAGGTGAGGGGTTTCCTCTGTTTTTTTTTTTAAAGTTCTCTGTATTTTTTTCTCTGAACCCGAATGTCTCCCTCTGTTCTCTGTCTTTTGTTCTTTTTTTTGTTGATGCAAGTGATATTTGATGAACGGATTTGACAGAGTTATATGCTGTCATCGAGATTGCATCGGGATATCTTGTACATGCTTTTATATATATTTTTTTAAAAATCTGACTTTGATTGATTTTCGGCTGACTGATGGATTTTTTGTCACTGTTGATGACAACATCGGCCGAGAAATATTCGTCGGTGGCTCGACGACTGGCTCACGTGCGCTCGGAGCACTACGGTGAAGTCCATGCGCGGCTTTGGTGGCTGGAACATTGGTTGGTGGCTGAGTTGTTGATAACATTTAGGGTTTACAACCCTAACTGGATTGGGTTGATCTTGGGTCGGGTATGGGTCAGTCCTTGGGTCATATCTTAGCTATATCGGGTAAAGTTCAGGGTCACTTGAGTCGGGTTTGCTGGTTTGTCTGCATTGGGCTCTGGGTCTTGGGTGTATTGGGCTTTCTTGGGTGAGGGCCCGATGGGTTAAGGTCTGCTGGGCCAGTTCGGGTTGACTTATAAATTGGGCCTGCAAAATGTAATGGATAAATTAATAATAATATACTAATAATAATAATAATAATAGTAATAGTAATAAAATAACTAATAATAGTATTAATAAATAAATAAATAAAAGACCTTAACAAAAACGGGTGTCTACGGTACACAAGGGTGCTAGAGCGGACTCTATGATTGGCCGATTTGATTTCTCAAATTCTTATCGGGTGGAAGCTCGTGGTTTTAGCGGTGGGATTTGGATTCTGTGGAATGATGATATCTGGGTCGATATACTGACGATTTCGAATCAGTTTATCTATTGCGTTGTCTCTTCAGCTGCTTATCTGACTCCCCTATTTGTTATAGTGGTTTATGCTAGTCCTTCCATCTCTTATCGCAGACTTCTCTGGACTAATCTTGAGCGGTTAAATTCGGGTAATGGTTGTCCATGGCTTCTTGGTGGTGATTTTAATGCCATTCTTCGACCGGATGAAAGAATTGGTGGGGCAATGAATCGTGTGGGTACAAGTAACAGCTTTATTGATTTTGTTGATGGTTTTGGTTTATCAGACTTGGGTTTTAATGGCTTGTCGTTCACTTGGAGTCGGGGGTCTTTGAAGCAACGTCTTGACCGATGCTTGGTGAACACTTGTTGGCTTACTGAATTTTCTGATTCAGCTGTTTTCCATCTTGATCATCTGGGTTCTGATCATCGACCTATTTTTCTTCTGATGAAACCTAAAATACATGTCCCTAAAAATCAGACTTTTCGATTTCTTTTTGCTTGGCGGCAGCACCCTGGATTCTAAGAGCTTCTTCAGGGGTCCTGAAGTAATGAGCGTGATGTGTTGACTAATTTGCAATCCCTTCGTGCGAGATTGGTTGATTGGAATTCCTGTGTTTGGTTTTATTGGAGCTCGTAAGCGGAGACTTATTGCTTAGCTCCGTGGAATTGATCGATCTCTCCATCGCAATCATTCACCTTTTCTTGTTGATTTGGAGGCGAACTTAAAGAATGAACTTGGGATCCTACTAGATTAAGAAGAATGTCTTTGGAAGCAGAAGTCCCGGTGTAATTGGATAACCCATGATGATCGCAACATAACCTATTTTCACACTGCTGCAAAAGTTCACCGACCAAGGAATACTATTCTCACATTACGTAGAGAAGATGGATCTTGGTCCATTGATCAGCAAGAATTAAAAGGTACGGCGATGAGTTTTTTTAAGAACCTCTTTACTAGCGGAGGTGAGTTGCGTTACTCGTATAATATTAGTGGTTTGTTCCCAGCTCTATCTAATGCTGTGAAGGATTATTTGGTTTGTGTTGGTCTCCATACAATGAACTAGTACCATGTAAAGCTACCCAGTTTTCCATTTATAATTGCTTTGGGCTTAAGGAAGTAAACTTTGCTTAGACTATATTATACATTATCATCTTTATCATTTGGTCAACCTGCTATTTTTTTTAAATCATATCCAACATTACATTTTATTTTTTGTCACTCTGCTAAAAAATTAATGGTGATGCTGATTTGAGCATTTTTTTTTTTTTTAATGCCGATGTGGCATCATCTTATGGTGACACATCAGTATCACCGTTAAATTTTTACATCATGTGATCAAAACAAAAATCAAAACATAACGCTAGATCTAACTTTTTAAAAAATATAATTGGATCACCAAAATAAAAACTAAGAAATAAGTGAGTGACCAAATAAGTAGTTTAACCACTGATATATTAAATATAAATATTGTACAATTTATGCCATGACGATCAAAAGTTTAAAAATGCTCTATCATAAAGTAACTCAATTTTTCAATCATGAACTCATTAAGTAACATCGGTGATTAAAAGGAGTGTTGTTCTCTCTAGACGTTTCGAATTCGAGCAACTATATCTGCAGAGTCTATGATATTAATAACTAAAACAAATTATGAACGGATATTACCTTATAATCATCTGCGTACTATTAAAAACAATTTCTCAATCATTATTTACACGTATGAAGATGGACCATATACATTCCTTACTCCACAAACAATTAAGACAGGGATTTTAGTGGTAGGGATTTTAGTTTTATTTTATCTTCCACACCCTTCCAAGAGATTGGACCACCAGGCCGGTGTATATTATATGATGTTCATTAGTCATAGATATGGGTGCATTGTCCCATTAGTTACTTGCATACATAGTGACACCTCACATAATTTATATGCAAGTTGGCCCAAAATCCTTTGGAATTTCTCTTGTCGCAAATAAATCACCAAGGTTGCCATTTGGTATTATATTTGCGAGTGTGATATCAAAGCACAGAGACAGGTTTCTTTCTTTTTTTTAACAAGCACATGATGAGAATGAATTCCACACCGCAAATTCAACAGATAATTCGACATGTATTTTCGTTGTGGGTGCCAAGTACGGACATCACTCTTCAATGTTGGGAAATGAACCGAATAGGACAAGCTAATCATGCGTGGAGGTATATTTATTGGAAAAACTATATGTTTAGTACTCTAACTATCACTTTTATTTTGTTTTGGTCATTCAGTTGCCTTTTTTTAGATTTTATATTACATTTAGAAGTATTTTATTTCTTATATTATTTATATCACTTTTAAATATATTTTCTATGACTTCCAAACTTAGAACCGATTCGGGTTTTTAAGGAAAGGCTGATTATAAGGGAGTTTCGTTTCCTATAGGCTTCACTTTGAGCTAATTTTTATTTCCTTTTGTAATAAAAAATGTACATTAATATCTACTATTACATAAAAGATTCTTTCAGCAGCGGCGACACTAAAGGCTGTCGGCATGAGCACCTCTTAAATATAGAGTATTTTTAAATATTATAAATTAAAAGATATTATTTAATTTGAATATTAGTAGGATAATTATTCTCTGAGTATGTTAATTTAAAAAACATCTATTATCCTTTTTAATTTTGAATATTAAAAATAATTATATATTTTTATATATTTCAAATTAAATTAATTTTTATTTAATTTAAATAATAAAATGAGTGTATTTTTGTTTAATATTTTAAATTTAAAAGATGTTATTATCTGTTTAAATTTAGATATTAAAATATGTTTAGTTGGAGTAAAGCTCGCAGATTTAATAGTTTAAATTTAAAAGATATTATTATCTGTTTAAATTTAGATATTAAAAAATGTTTAGTTGGAGTAAGCTCTCATATTTAATATTTTAAATTTAAAATATATTAAATCTATTTACCCGTACTCGACCCAAATACGAATTCGAGGTGTCACATTTACTTTTCAAAACTTTTACACTTATAAAAATCATGGAAAAATTAAACTTTCATTAAAATAAAGTTAACTAAGTTACATATGTATGTTTAAAACATTACAAAATCGATCAAAGCATATGTAATTCACAACTTTGTTTACATGCCAACAAACTTATTACAACAAAATACATAGTGTGTAAATTACTTCTGATCTGATCTTCTGCTAGAAATATGTTGTCTCTGCCAATCCTAGTTTTGATCCTCCTGCTTCTTAGTACCTTAGTGTGAAACACTCACACGCTAAGTCACAGACTTCTGGTAGAAATATGTTGCCTCTTCCAATCCTAGTCCTGATCCTCTTACTTCTTCATACCTACGTGTGAAACACTCACAGGCTAAGTCACAGACTTAGTGAGGCATATAATACCATAATGCATTTCTATATTATGAACATGCAACCTAATTATTTCATATACAATCAAACTACCATATCACTATTCAATCATATCACATATGATTCATTATTAACAAAGAATAACATGATATCTTATAATAAAGTAAACTATTTTTATATCTTTTATGTGCCCATGTATATTACTGAGAACTTAAGGTATGCGAGTACCTTGAGGTTGTGCACATATGTTGTCACCACAGCTCGTATAATTTTCACTTAATGTCATGTGAAATTTGTCCCGAAGGACCTCATGTGTGTCCCGAAGGACCTCGTATATCTCCTGAAGGAACGCATATAACCCTTGACTCTTGGCATGCCAACTATACATATATCTCTCATATCACAGAACATGGGCTTAAATATTTATATGTTCCATATATCCATATAATCACTAATTCATCACGTATTCATGTGCATATGTCATTTCTCTTATAATCACATATGTCTTATCTTATACCATATATCACATGTACATATAATCATCAATCTCATATCATATAACTTATATTATTTGATTATGTTCATATGAATCATATAACATGTATCAAAGCATATAAACATATAATACTTATGCATGTGCTTATAAAGATCATGATATATACATGTTCATAACTATTGGACCATAAATTTAGACATAGGAAATAGACTTATCACAAGTATTATATCCATAAAAATATATCTATTCTATAACATGCACTCACCTTAGCCTCACTTGATCCAAATCAACTTCTATAACTTAATCTTTCTCTTGTTCGTGTCTAACTCTTCGATCGTTCCGAAACTTGATTATGCTTAATATCTACACCATCATACAGTTGATATACATATCAAAATTCTAAGTATCTTAATTTGATCCTTAATAATCCAAGCTAAAAGAAAGGCTTAATACAATTTTCTACTTTGAGTAGTATCGGTACCCCATGTATGGTACAAATACTTCCCTAGTTGTAGTATCGATACCAAACCTAGGTATCAATACCTTTTCCCGATTCTGGAATCCTTATTTCAAAATGTTATCGATACCCTTGGTATCGATACTACCCTTTAAGTATCGATACCCCTTGCATAATTTGTCCAGTTTTGGCTTATGGTATCAATACTTATTCATATAGTATCGATACACTCTCTCAAATTTTGACCATTTTCTCTTTGAAGTATCGATATTGGATGAACAATACCGATACTCGATGCCCAGAATTCATCTTTTTAACTCGAAAACTCACCCTTACTTACATATATCTTCTATTTTTAACTCCTTTCATACTACTAAACTTAACTCAACTTACTAACCTATCTTATATTCATATAACACATCCTCATCTTCCATATTTCATCCTAATTCTTGAAACCAAGAATGCTACAAAATTTCCAACATATTCCAAATTCAATTTTAACACTTCATACTTCTTAATTTATCTGATGATAAGTCAATTCTAGTCTCAAATTCTACTTATTAACTCTCTCCCAAGATTTCATTTAGAGACTTCTTATCTTTAATCATTCTTAACTCTTTCATCTTATGGTTTTAAAACAACTCAAGCTTTCCTTAAGCTTAAGAATCATCTAAGAAACATAAACCAAGCTTAAATTCAATACATAATCAGCTAACAAAAAAACTCACATTTTCCAAATAGCTTTCACGTCTGAAGGATGAAGAAGATGAGTTCTCTAGATATTTCTTTTCCCTTTTTCTTTCAAATCTCCACGTGTATATATCCTCACCATAATACATTTTTAATTCATTTATTGGTCAAATGACCATTTGCCCTTCCAATCATCCTTCTTTATTATTCAGTCCAACACAAAATTTTCCATATAAGCCCTAAACTTTTAAATTTATCTACTTTATTCACTAAATTTTGAAATTTTACAATTTGGTCATTAACTCGGTGTTTGGGATGTTACATAAAAGATGTTTAGTTTTATTAAATTTAAAAGATATTATTATATATTTAAATTTAGATATTAAAAGAGTTTTAGTTGGAGTAAAACTCTCTCAAAATTCTCTATAAATATTGAGCAAATATCTCAGGTTTTTCAATAACTCAAAATTCAAGAAGTTTTCTTTTCTTGAAAATATTTTCTCTTATTTTCAGAAAAT